TCTATTTGCAAAGCTTACAATATTTTTGTGTTGTATTAAATTAAACAAGGGAAAAATGGTCAATTAGCTTTTGCGTGGGACTTGTCCGCGTGATCTATACTAATATTATAAAGTGGAAAGATTTATATTTTTGGATTTACGCAAAAATTACTGAGCCGATTTAAAAAAAAATCTTTCACCATAAAAAAAATAATTTTTCTGTGAGTAACTTAGGCTATATTCTGTATTAATTTTTTTTAATTATATGCGTGCGAATTCGCGAGTAACAGCTAGTATTAAAAATACGTAAGTAGGTTGTCTATTCTTCCAAACCACGTTCAACATCTGTACCAAATGTCATCGAGATCCGTTAATCTGTTTTGGAATCACGTAGTAACAAACATCCATCCAAACTTTAAAATGTATGATATTAGTATGATTAAACTGAATTACAAATCAATACTTGTACACTATATAATTACATTAGTCCAATAAAAAAAATTAATTTATTATTTGCAGATTGGTTATAGAAACCCCAGTGAAAGTTTACCCGCCAACAGAAAGATTCTGGTACTATTCGAAGCGACCTCTGGTGCAACAGTTTTATATCAACTTGAAAGAGGTAATTTACATTTATATACTGCTTGTTATATTCATATATTTCATAACATAAATTTAATCCTATTTACCCTGCAGTCACTAGACGCTCTCGGGCAGTTACAATACGAGGTAGCGAGTGTGGAAACTTCTGGAGAGTTGGACAGATCTCGTCTGAACCTTCCGTTGTCCTTGTCTAACTTGTTGCCGTCTCCCTTGTCCAGTGCGCCCGCGCCGCCTTCACCATCGGAACCTGATTCTGGTAACTACTAAAACACAGACAAAAAAGTGAAAAATGCCTTTAAATTAAGAAAAAATGGAATGATTCTGAAATCGGAAATAATGATATATTTTTTATTGTTATTCCAGATGGCGATGAACCATTGTTGAGTGGTACTGGCGAAGTGTCCAAAGATTGTGGTGTTGATGTACTCGAGAATTGGGCGCAAGTGCTCAGGAAGTAAGTAATCAATGAAAACCAAAACATCCTTTTTTTATATAGTAATAGTATAAAGTGACAAACGCGCAAGCTGTAACAAGAATTCGCCAAATTAATGGAGTGACCGTTGCCAAAGATAATCGCATTATCAGATTTACCCAATCAACTGAAAAGGAGCCTCAGAAAGAGGATATTTTCACTTTCTACGTGCCTTCTCTGCTGAATCCCCTTCTTTTCTCTTCCATCATTATACGAATGACGATGAATGACGAGGAAGAGGATAGAAATCAGTTCTTTAAGTAACCATGATAAATATAAATTAGGTCATAACCGCCTCAGTAACGTTTGTAATAACCGTGTCTATTGTTAAGATATGTCTGTCTCCAAATTGTGTAATTTTTACCCCAACATATATTAATTATTGTTTTATTATTGTTTACAGTTGGATTGGTCCCCGTCCGCGTGCGCTGAGCCAGCTGGTGCGCGTGGGCGTGCCGGAGGCGCTGCGCGGGGAGGTGTGGCTGCGGCTCGCTGGAGTAGACCAGAACGATAAACTCATGGAGACATATAGGACACTCATCAGCAAGGTGAACGACTACTAATCACAGTTATTTAATGATTAAGTGCCTTAATATTAATTTTTCATAGCAAATCTACTTAAAAAGGCCCAGTAATTAATCACTACATGGTTATGAGTGTGATTTAAGAAAATTTTCATTATGTTTGTTCGCGATAATCTCAAAAACTAATGATCGGATTTTAAAAATTCTTCTTGTATTTGATAGGCTATTAATTAAAGAAGGTTATAGGCTATTTATTATCTCGCTATGATTTATAGGAGCTGAGTAATGTCAAAAAAACAATGTTTATTAGGAGTGTCCGTTCGAGGCGGTGATCCAGCGCGACATCGCGCGCACGTTCCCGGCGCACGACTTCTTCCGCGAGGCGGGCGGGCTGGGGCAGGACTCGCTTCTGCGCATGGCGCGCGCCTACGCCGTCTACGACCACGAGGTCGGCTACTGCCAGGGACTCAGCTTCCTCGCCGCCACGCTGCTGCTGCACGTCAGTATACAACTCTGTCTCTATACTAATATAACAAATACTTTGTTATATAGGATATCAGAAATTACAGTATTTTTATTGTTAATTATTCTTTTTTTATAAAGCCCTGCACTTAAAACACGCTATAGGCTGTATATATTCAAGCTATTTAATTTAGCTGGTGAATAAATTGGAAAAAATGTCATGCGAGAAAGGGACAAGAAGTAAGTAACCTATGTATTCTCCAAGACTATGTTCTACATTTGCATAAAATTTTATCGAGATTGAATAAGGCGTTCCAGATATACCTTGTAATACATCTATTCGTCCAAATAAATTTTTGAATTTAAAGTCTTTCGACATTAGCTAATTTCGAGTAACTTATGACATATTCTTGTAAGCGCGGTACTCAAGTATTTCAACAAAATAATTGTCTTAAATAATTATAGATCGTTAAGATATGTTTCGATTAAGATATTAAATTGACATCCACTGAGCACATGGCCGTGTGCTCACTCCGTCGCGATTCAAATCAAACTGACAGTTTCACAAGATCGCCGCCCTACCAGAACTCATTGTTGGTAATGGGCATAGAGTAAGTCTACACATTTATAATATTAGTAAGGTATAATGTTTCTTTGCAGATGCCGGAGGAGCAAGCATTTTGTCTGCTGGTGCGTCTGATGTACGGCTACGGACTGCGCGAGTTGTACAAAGATGGCTTCGAAGCGCTCTACATGAGGTTGCATCAATTGGATAGATTGATGGAGGTACATTTACGTATTTTTCATATTTTCCTATACAGCCAGTGAATAAATAAGCAACAGTTTTAAAGTATTTATAATATTTTCCAGGAGCAACTGAACGATCTTCGAGCTCACTTCCAAGAGCTAGGTGTGGAGCCGCACATGTTCGCTTCCCAGTGGTTCCTCACAGTGTTCACTGCGAGGTTTCCTTTGCCATTGGTAAGCTAATAAAATATGTACAATGTAGTGTTTGATATATCATATTAAATTTATTTGCTTTTATATGTATGAGAAGTTTATTTTATAGTGGATTTTAGATGTGTGGAATTTAATTGAAATAGGGCAGTTTTAGAAGAGCCTTACTAAGTTTGCGCAGACGAAGTCACCGGCAAAAGCTAGCTACTTCTATACAAATATGTGTAATATATTTACTCGGTGTACAGGTGTACCACATCCTGGACGTGTTCCTGCTGCAAGGCATGGACACGCTGTTCCAAGTGGCGCTGGCGCTGCTGTCGCGCTCCCGCAAGGACCTGCTGCAGCACGACTTTGAGGGCGTGCTCAAGTACTTCAGGTATACCGACGACTTTAGTTATTTATTAGCTTTCACACGCGGCTCCGTCCGCGTGGAATTAAGAAAAATAAAAACAAGTAGTTTATGTGTTTTTTCAGACTATCCTCTACATTTATACCAATTTTCATCAAAATTCATTCAGCCGTTTTTGCTACAAACTAACATACATCCATCCATCTAAAATTTCACATTTTTAGTATTAGTAAGATTTGTCGTAGTGACGAGTGGTAGCCAAATTTAATTCCGAAGCTAGTTCGTATACACGGAAACTTATCCTCCATTGTGGCGTGATTATGTCTGAAATAATGAAATAATAATCGCGTAATATCCGAAACAAACCTCATTCAATCTTTAGTGAAAACTGAATAACACGATCTCACCGGTTGCGAACATTTAAAAATTAAAAAATCATTTCAAGCAGTTATATTATTTTCAATACGTCCAATTTAGTTGAAGCTCTGTCGAATTCCCTTATTGTATGTAAATTAATATGTTTTGTGAAATAATAAATGATTTTTTTAGAGTTACATTGCCGAAGAAATGTCGCGCGGAGGAATCATCCCGTCAAATAGTGAAACTGGCTTGCAGTATTAAAGTGAAGCGGCTGCAAAAATATCAACTGGAATACGAGAAGTTCATCAAAGGTATCATATATTAAAAGATATATAATTCGTTACTGTGGTATAGTAATTATTTGACAGTGGTGATACATAGGAAGGGAAAATAACTTTTTTATGTGCGTCTCCTCCTCCGACGATTAAAAGATCAGGAATGGTGCATATCTATGGGCAGCGTTCGTTTCGCCATTTTGGCGAATTAAAACGAGCACGCAGCTACTGCTTTGCCACCTTATCATATAAAAAATAAATAGACAATGAATTTGGTTTCAGAATCAGCAGAGAAGGAGAAGATAAATGTAGAACTAGAAAGTCTGAAGGTGAGCTGTGCTCAGCTGCAGCAGGAGAAGGAGGCACTGGAGTCACAACTGACACAGGTTTTTTCATACTATTGTTTTTTTTAAGGAAATTGCATTTACTATGAAACTCTTTAGAACGGAACTTTTTTGCTTTGTGTGAAAACTACTAGTAGTGTAATTTTTTTCTCTTTAACGAACTATTTTTGACGACATGGAAGAGACTTTTTGTTCCAAGCCATCAACACTCTTTAATGAACTAGAAACATAAATTATGTATGCATTGTTATGATTTCTTTACACTATATGTTCTTTTTTATTATTTTAGAATCGCAGCGCACTAGAGGAAATGCAAAAGGAGTCTGTGCACTACGCGGCTGTCGCGCGCGACTACCGCGAGATCTGCGCGCGGCTCGACAAGCAAGTGCATCAAATGCAGGTACATGGAGAAAATTACACCTTTTTTAAAATATTCAGCGTGGCGCAATATATTAAACGTATTGTTTGGGTATTAATATGTTTTTTTTTTTTCAGGAATCCGTTAAAAACTGTGTAAACTGCAGCGTCAAACTCGCACAGAAAGATAATAAAGAAGGTTAGTCAACATTCAATTTAACAGAACATAATATTCTCTTAACATTTTGGATCTAATCGAAAGTAGAAGAAACTCGCTTTGAGACTTTATCTTACAGCTACTAGTGTATCGTTTTAATTCAAAACAGAACTGAAATGTATACTTTTCACACAATAACTTAATACCAAAATTACAAAAATTTAGGTCTGTCCCACCACTAGCTGACACTAGCTTAAAAATGACGTCATTAGATAAGGGAACACAATCCGTTATTTCCATCACATATTTTACACGTT